ATATTGACTAATCATTTACTACATTTTGAAAGAATAATTTATGTTTTATAAATAACATAAAATTAGTATTAGTAATTTACTTTTTAAAAGTGATGGAATAACTACTCATTTTAATATAGATATCAGTGAAAAAAAAAAATTAAAATACTTTTTAATTACAAATAAATATAATGTAATTTAGTTATAAAACATACGTTACATAGGTAAGTGATGTGAATGTATATTTGACAAAAAATTAATGTGTTGATAAAAACACATACTTATTTTTTATATATAAAAAAAATAAAAATTTAGGTAATTAGTATGATGTGCAATAGAAGACGATTACACTCAATATATCTCGTCATTGAGTAGGTTACTATAATAGATGTGTTAAAATTGAAATCAATGAGAAATAATTGCATACAAAAAACAATTTTTAAGTGGAGACGTATATTTTCAGCACATATTTTTAATATTACTATATTGTTATTAATTATTCGGTATATGTATTTTATTGTTACTAATATAGCTTACACTTTAAGTAGGCCATAGCTTAAAATCCTAAATATTTTGAAAATATCATTGCGTGTAGTAAAATATAATGATATAATACATAAACATTTCAAGTCCCCCACGACTATTTTTAAATTTCAAAAATATAACTCGAAATTATTTTTGTTTAAATATTTAATTATAAACAAATAATTTTAGTTCTAAATTTTAAAACCTAAATATCTATAAAAAAAAAAAAAAAATAATAATAATTATGCTTTTATATTTTTATATTTTTGGGTTTTAAAATTTGGAACTAAAATTATTTGTTCGTAATTGAATATTTAAACAAAAATAATTTCGAGTTATATTTTTGCAATTTAAAAATATTCGTGGGGGACTTGAAATGTTTATGTATTATATCATTATATTTTACTACACGCAATGATATTTTTAAAATATTTAGGGTTTTAATACTAAAAAAGAATTTTGCATTAAATATTTAAGTCTAATTTATAAACATTTTTACCTGTAAAATAATTTTCAAATTTTCGAAATCTTATTAAAATTAAAATTTCAGACATTTAAAAAAAGTATGAATTCATGTGAATTTTTAAATTTGTTATCAACATTTATAGAAAATAATCTTTATGTTTAAGCGTGTAGCGGTTTTTATCATGATTTATTGCGGTAATACGATACCTTTAGAATTTAAATTATAACAACCATTCCACTGGTCTAAGAATAGTGCAGACTATGCTTTCGGTAATATTGACTACATCGATTTATAGATATTTTTTCTGCTGAATTTTAATCTTTTTTTCAGGATTAAAATCAAACAAGGTTAATTAATTCTAATTTTATCAAGACTTTAGGCCTTTTAAACTGAATTGACAATAGTAGCGAAGCCCTTAAGTTGCGAGTATTGGTGATTAAATGACAAGTCTTAGTCTTACGGAAATTATACTATCTATAATCAGTTTTTTTGTACTTAATAGAATTTAAATCATTTTTAATCATTTAACTAACTTAAATATTTAAAAAAATGTTGATCAATTAAAAAAATACCATATTTTAGTATTTTTTACAAGTACTTAAAAATTACTTAAATTTTGAGTTATTGTCTTATTTATATACCCGATATGATATATCATGGTTTCGTTATTATGAGCTGGTATCTAATTAGTAATTATTTAATTATGAAACACTCGAATTTAAAAGTTAAGACCTTAATAAAATATAATTTATTATAATATACTGTGTTATTACTTATTAATATAACGAGTAATAACCACTATCAATTAAACATTTTTATTTAACTTTGTATTTTTAATGCGTGTAATATTTTCTGTTTATTCATCTTATATTAATAAATTAATTTTTATGGATTATAAATTTTAAATTTATAATTCATGACCAAATACTTATGTGCATCTAAAATTGATTGTATCCATTCACATTTAAAAAATATAATGTATCTATTAATTTCTTTTGTTTTCAAACACATTTAAATTTAAATAATGTAAACAAGTACGATTGTTTTAATTATGATAGTTATAACAAGCATTATAAATATAGATAATATTACTATAATTTATACTATATTATTCAATTTAAGCTCATATTCATGGTATAATAATATAATATTCATGACTGAACTTTGAAATTATAACTGTATATTTAATTTTATTATGCAGAATTACACTGGGCATTTTAAATAAATCTATAGTATAATATCTACCGATAAGTGAAAATAGCGAAAAAATTGAATGTTCGTATACGAACATCAAATGTGATAAAAAAAATTAAACTTGCACAATTTTTACTTAGTAATTAGTTTGATCGTCTGTTTAACAGAATTTAATCCTCATCATTAAATAAGCAAATATTGAATATTTATATAAACATTATAACTATTTATTATTTATAATTTTTAATGTTTAACCCAATGCCACTAAATTTGTTACGACGAATAACATTTAATATTAATGGTTTATTTTTATAACTTTATTGTTGTTACTTACAATTAAATTGAAAACTACAATTAATAATTGGCTTTATTTTATCAACGAAAAATTTTGGTATGATGTGCCTTTAATATTATGGTTATTGGATTTCGTATGCATACTTATAAGTCTTAACATTCTATTTATTACTGTAATATGTTTAATACGCAAATGGTATTAAGCATTCAAACTATAGGACATTTTTTTTTTCATTTGTCAGTAGATTCTACAATACTACTTAAAAGTTGTAAATTTTTATTGAAAAAAAATCACAAAAGTGGATTGTTGTTAGTTGTCACTTGTACCTGTTACACATATATTTTATTATTGTGTTATAACATTCATTTTTGAACTTTTAGTTTTTAAGTACCATATTATAGTACGTAAAACAGTTAAATATTGTTAAAATTTTAATATAGATATGATACAAATAATACCAATATATCATATATATATATATTATATACATTATACATATATGTATGTATGATGTAAGACTTGTCTGAAGTTAATTCGATGATATTATATATTAGATTATTCGCAATCTCAAATAAGCAAATTATCTGTAAACCATATACCTACATGAATAAAGTATTATAATATAGAAGGTCTATATATAAGTACACATGACCTACGTAGATTAAGTGTTTCTTAATTATTATTTTGAACTGCGATAAACTAATACAAACCTTGCTGCATGTTATTAAAATTATTGAGGTATTTAGACAGACTTTTTTCTGTATAATTTAAATTTTTATGCATTAAACATACAAAGGAAACCGGCTTAATTGTTCATTAACCTTAACAGCATTTTTATTATCTATCGTAGGTCAGTTATAGAGATAGTTATAACTTTGTATTGAATCTTGTGGGTATCGCAAAGTTTTTACTTATTACTTACATTTATACATATTAAATTAAATGAGTATAAACGTAAATGTGTGTAGTTTTGAGACAATTTTTATTGTACATGCATCATAATATATAAATACAATAGTATATAAGAATGAATAGGTAAAGTTAATTAAAATTATAAGGAATAAAAATTTAGCTATAGTGTTTGGAAAAAAGATTATTTTTTCTCGATATATATATAATATATATTATATATACATTATATAAACTATAAATAAATCAGCAGAGATGGCAAACTTATGGCACGCGTCAACTGTATAAAAAAGATCATTTGTAGAATTTTTTAGGTTTAACAAGAAAATAAAAATTATCAAATTAGTTGTCATGTAGGGTAAATAATATTCAATCAAAATTTTTTATTTGTAATGGGTATAAAAGGTTCATCATCCTTGCTATAGAGTTATGTCACAGTTATTATCATATTATATATGTTAGTTATCAATGAAATTAGTTACACAATAATTATTATTAGTGTTCTCAATCTATTAATCAACTCATATTTAGTTTATAAAATACAAATAGATTTATTTTAATTTACAGAAATATATGTATTATACAATCTCATGATTTGTTAAAAACACAAATATGTGTAGCTAGGTGGGGTAATGTCTGAGAAATATGTAGCCTAGGTAACTAATCTATATATATAGGTATAACCTGATAATTTTAGAAAGACTTATTCAAATTTGTTGCTTTTACGGTAAAGAAATTGTTTTTGAATGAAATATTATTATTAATCATATTCTATAGATTTTATAACGATATAGGGTTATCAGAAAAATGGGAAAATATGAGATAACTCTTAAAAAAGTAAAAAAAGATGTGTTTATAAATTGTTTTTCTATTGAAAACAATAATTCCAAATGTTTAATTAATGTTCATAAGATCGTGTCAAAATTTAGCTATTTAATATTTTTCTGTTTTTCTCGAACACCCTGTACATACAGTATGCATATAAACACATGATATCGAAAAAATACTATTTAAATTTTAAATTAATTTTTACAATATTATACCTATTTTGACTGGTTGGATGGTGGGTGAGATTTTTATCTTATTTTTTATTTCTTTTTTCTATACGCTCTTACAATCCAAACCTTAAATAATTCAAGTGATTCCTGTTTATGTTCGATCACAATATAATATGAGTTACCAGTCAAATGTGTGCGTAATCGTTCCGAGACGAGTTATTTGATCGGAAAACTCTGAAACACATCCCGTACACGTCTAAGCATTGTTTGTTTTTTCGATTCGAAAATTGCTACGTATGTAGGTGCATATTATTATGATTATATGAACATGTCGCGCTCTGAAATGGAAAAACTCAAATACAACAACAAAAAAAAAAAAAAAAAAAACATACAAACACACACACACACACACCAATGAAAATTTATATGTATGCGGTTTATAATTTATTTATATCGTAAAAAAAATAAATAATATAATTATGATATCGTGTATCGTGACTTACAAACAGGTAGGTCGGGTACCGGACACAGCGTTACAATAACATATACCTATCACGTGATTGGTTGCCCGCTCCGAATCCAAAGATCGCTGTGCAATAATATTATTTCCGATTTCCACGACCACCGCCCGGCACGATGCGCGATGAGTCCGATCATTTCGGTCCGACATGTGCACGAAGGTGTTGATCGACAGCGGCGTCAGGCAGCCGCCCGCGGCCATCGTCCGGCTCGTGGTGCATGGGACGTTGGCGTGGCTGTATTTCCACGTAATGTGGATGGCCAGTTCTGTGGACTGGGACTCGATCGTGTTCCCGACCATCAGCGAGGTGGGAAAATTCATGTCGTACATGCTTACGATGTGGACACTGGTGAGTACCCTCCTACAAAGACCATCCTCATTATTACAACGTTAATGAAAATATCTATTTTCATAATTTTAAGTCGTTGAGAGCAAAACTTTTTTTTTTTTTTCTAAATAAAATTATATGTTTTACCATTCCAAAACACACATTTTGAACGATTAGTTTATGAGTTTTTAATAATTATTATACTTAAAAGTATAGGGCACGAATTTTGTTGCATTCGCAAATTTCCACTATTGTTTGGAATCGTTGCTATAAGTGAGTTAGAATATCGTTTCATGCGAGTATGAATTAAAATCTAAAATTTTTAGTGCAACATATTATAATTTTTGATATGTTTTTCAATTTTATTGCAGTTTTGTTGACTTTTCTTATTTATAAAAAATTGATAACTATTTTTTAACTTTATTCGTGTAATCTTATTTTTTAAATACTTTTTGAACAGTTTTAAATTCAATGTATTGATAATAAAGTTATAAAATCGTAAATATGTATGAAACACTTGCATGTTGTACGCACTTTATGTCTAATGTAAATGATGTTGGTTTTAAATTTGTTTTTAATAGTAATTTACTAAATTATTTATTTTTTGTGGAATTTAAATATTATTTAAGAAAAAAAAAAATGAAAATAAATTTCGAATGATAATTAAGTATTTCAAAAACAAATTTAGTACTGTACCTACATAAGCAATGTATCATTTATTGTATACAACTTTTTTGTGTGTAAATATGATAAATTTGTTCATTTGGGATAATTGTTGGTTTCTAAAATATTTTTTGGCTTTATAATATTACTGAATTTGACTATAATAAAAAATATTAAATAGGTACTAAGTAGTATATAATAAAGGTCACTACTTACAAAAATGTATTATTAATAAGCTTAATGTTTGTACATACTAAAATATTTTGATATGGTTTAACCGTGAGATATTTTTATTGCGTGTTTATTAAATTAATTAAATTTTGTCCGTAAATTAATAAAAATAAATTATTGATAAGATATTTTTTTTACTATTCAATAAGTTTATTTTCAAATGAATAAATCTTCTTTATAACTGTTTTGACGTATAACAGATACGAGTATATCTATATTTTATATAATATTTTCAATTAACTATTTTTAAATGTATAGGCATAGGAAACTTGGCTTTAAAAAAAACATTCAAGTATGCATTTAATATGGCAGATATGCATCAAAAATAAACAAACATAAAAAATATAAAATAATATATTAGATAACGTTATATTAATTAAATTTAATCAATAATTTAAATTAATTTATTACAAGACTGGTGTTTGTCGGAAAAAAAGTGCACATGCGATAAAAATATAGAGTAATATTTAAAATTTAAACGTTTTCATAACTATAGGTTAAACTATATCATAAAATATTATGTTAAAACCGTTATTTCTATCGTTTTCATTTTTAAATATTTTATTACTGATATTATTGATGAATATATTTTGATAATTTTATGAAGACAATGAATTACATATATCGATGAGCAAACATTTCAAAATATCTATACATTCTTTATTTATAATATAGATACATGAAATACTTGAATAATTATTGAATTATAAAATAATTTTTTCTACAAAATTTTCAATGCATATAATTGATAATTTTCACTTCAAATTAATTTGATTTATATTTCGTATTAATAATATTTATTTTTTTATGAAGTATCTTATTGTTCAAAATCGATTTAATTGTATTTTTTTTAAATATTATACGTAATTATTATTATTTCAGAACATAGTTTTTAATTTAGTTTTTGACAAGTACAATTATTATTTAACTCTGATCCAGTAATCAATTTATGATTAAAACTACTGAGATGATAGTTAGTAGGTACTTAGTACCTATCTAAATAATACACTATTCGCGTGTATTGTTTTGATACTAAGATAAGTTTAAACACAAATACAGTAATACTTTACGATTAGCAAAACGAAAATTATTCATGATGAATAAAATATAATAACATTTAAACAACAAAATTATATTTATATTTTATAACTATGTATTATTATATATTTAGTAATTCCAGTGAATGTGCCTGGAATTAACGGAATCGTCATATTAAAGGTTGTATAGTAAAAAAAATATGCCAAATGTCCATGTTTAAAAAAAAATCAGATTTTGCCAATTTCGGATTTGCGTAAGCACGTCTCGTTATTTCATTTATGCTATATAATTTGTTTTATATTTACATTAAGTATTTAAGTTTACTATACCTGCCTGTACGTATAATCTAACTAAATGAGTTTAAGTTTTAGATTAATTTAAAATTAATATTTGATACTATTTCTAGTTTGTTGGATAGTTATGAATATTGATGATCTTATTATGTCAATATTTTATCTCATATTCATTTATAATATAAAATGTTATAAATCTTTTGTAGGTATTTCAAACAGCGAAGGAAATTAAATTTAAAAAAATCAAAAGATTACATGTAATGCAAGGTACTAATGAATTTTCTACAAAGTTTGAATTCATAATAGTACTTATTAAATTATTGATAAGCAATTTAATTTAAATTTGGATTAAGTTAAATAATAAATTTATTTTATCAACAAAATTAAAAATATACTGTATGTAATGTGTGTATAATGTATATGGTTTTAAATTGCAATATTGCATTATGATTAATTTTTTACACACACACACATAATATATATATATTAAATGAAACAGGAAATGCACAGTTTACAACACAATATTATGCTATATATAATAATATCTAATAAACAACGATTTATGACTGTTTATTTAAGTAAAAAATTTATCTATATAATTTAAATAATTTGTTTACTTTAATCAAATTTTAACTTGTAAGAAATAATGGTAAATCATTATACTCGAAAAACAGCTTAAATAGAACTTTATTTAATCTATATTCTTTAGAGGACACAGTGGCGGTCAAATGATTTCGACATAGTCAAGGATGTGGCTAATTTTGTAATACCTATGCACTTTGATTTTTAAAACAAAAATTGAGGACTATTAATTCATACATTGATTTATTAATAAAAAAATATAAACTAAAATGTCAATTCATAGGTAAAAATTGTAGATCAATTAGTTGATCAGTTTTTTCTGTTTTTATCTTATACTATACTTGAGGTTATAATAAAAATTTCACAATTAATAGCAATTTTAGCCAATAATCCACGGAGACAACTTTAAGATAAAATGATAGCTACAACATTAAAATTTTAAAAATATTTTTTATTTAACTATAAAAGAAATGAGAAAAAATCTTAAAATTGTATACTTTTGTAATTTATGATAATATATATACATGTTTTATGTTTAAACTTTTAACTGATCATTTATATTTTGTTTATTATATATTTAATTGTTAGTATTTGTGTGATTTTGTAAATTGTATAAGTACAATATCTACGTTCACCATAATTTATTTTTTTATAATTAGAAAAAAGAATTTTGAAAATTGCAGAGTGACAGTGAATTATTCTGATTGTAAAATATGCCATTTTATGCATTTTTAAGAAAAGAATACAACAAATGCTGTGGATACAAATAGCGAATACACGACATCCTCTCAACCTGCAAATAGACAAGAGTTCTATAAAATTTACCAATATATTTTTTTACAACTCGTAAAAATAAATTATTCTTTATTTTAATTATGTGCAATATTATTTTAGCATGATTTGATTCACAAGTGAAAGTAGACATGTAACATAATTTTTTCATATACGTTCAATAAGATTATGCTAGAATAAATATGTGTAGGTAGATGTTAATATACTTAAAATAACAATATCATATTGATATTTACTAGTTATTAATTGATATAATATTTTTTTACGGAAATAATTCTATGACTATAACTTTCAAGTAATAATAATATTATATAAATGGTAGTTTGAAAACATTATTTAGATTTTAAACAATAGTTAAAATATTACGAATAAATATGATATTTAAAATTAATTGAATATAACAATGGATGAAAAGAAAAAAATTGGTAACTGAAAATAATTTTTACCGTTTTATATTTTATGAAGTGATATTATTTTAATAACCTTGAAAAATAGGTTAGGTTAAATATATTATTTAGAACTTGATTACTTTTAATAAAATTTTGTTGAGATTACTGCATAATAATAAATTCTTGTATATAAAAATTATTTTAATGGTTAGACATCGGCTTTTTCGTTTTCTCAAAAAATAATTTTTAGAATGTAATTGGTTTTTAAGTGTTGTAAAATTATTCATATTATGGTAAATTATAACAGAAAAATTTAAGTTTAATAGTGTCTAGTGTGAGTATCCTATTTGAGTCATTGCGACTTATAGATATTATATCAGTTATAAATAACAAATATTATTACTTATATTTTATTTTAGATCATGCATTTAGGATTTTTCATAATAGCTACAATATTGGATTTCTTTGAATTGATTCCACAGTCTGTCATTATTGGAAAATTGCTCAACAAAATTCGAGAGGTGAATGACTTCTTTTTCATGACTGTGATGCTGCCAATATCTATGGTAAATACACATACTTACTGATTTTTTTTTTACCGATTAGCAATATTAAATGAATATGTTTTAATATAAAAATTATTAATACGTATAAAATAATACCTATAATACTACAATAATTATTCTATATGATTTTGTACTTTTTATTTCTGTACAAATCTTAATCACTTAAGAGGATGCTATGCAATCTGTAATTTATTTTTGAAAATAGTTTCGCGTGGAATAAATGTACCGTGAGAGGATTCATAGTAAGCCTTATCAGATTTTTTACTATACATACAGAAGAAATGATTATTGACAACCTAGAGACAATCCTAATTACTTTTTTGTATCTTTTTGTATTTTTTTGTTTCTTAAAATGATTGAGTATTGATATCAAAAAATAAAAACGTGATTTACATTTTCTTCTATATACGTAGTGTAAAAATTAAGTAAATTTATTATAAATAATGTAAGTGCTCGTAAGTTTGTGTCTTGTGAAACTGTTTTTCTATATAATCTCATTATTATACAACAGTTATTACTGACATGTGGCATTTATTAAATTACTTAAAATTAGCTTATATATTTATTTTAATTCTCCTCAAAATGTCATTAAAATTGCCTATATTAAACCCCTTAAAAAGTGCACACTCGCAGCTAAGTTTACCGAGTATTACTTATAAATTATTATTAGGTACTTTACTAATGGTTTACAAATTATTTGTTCGATATGTTACAGTGTGTGTGTAGCGGCTTTTGGTCTGCATGGGTATTATTTAATGATATTATTTATCCATCAGCTGTAAATAATATCATACCAGTATTTATCAATCACGTGTCTCATACAACTCCTATTTTCATTGTATTTATTGAATTGTGTCTCTGTTACCACGCATCGCCAAGAGTAAAACCAGCCATTACCAGTCTTGTCACTGTTGAAACTATTTACCTATTTACGTAAGCTACTATCTATATTATGTTACATGATATTATTATGCTATAGGTCTTGTAATATAGGTATTATATATATATATATATATAATATTTAAATAAATGAACATAGACGAATAAACGATGGAGAGTTTATAAGTAAATTAGACATTTTGAATAATTTTCCAATGACGTCGGTGAGCAATAAGTGGGTTAAAAAACATTTTAAATATACTACAAGCGTTATATGGTATATTGTAAAAAATGACCTGTAACTCACACAGGATAAATCTAAACATTTAGTACCTACTTATAACAACGAACGTAAAGTCATGTACTGTACGAATGATTCTTATGTATAATTCCCTGCTGTTATATTTATAATATGTCAGTATATTATATTACCGATTATTGTGATTTAAAACTTCGATATAATAATATGTTATAACTTATATTACGTTTCACTAAATTATATAGGTACTTACTATTTAAAACGTAGAAGTTTATCATACCCTCCTTCAAAATGTCAACATATTTCTATTTTAAACCTAATATAGTTTTATTTAAAATATTATTATGCGTGAAATAATAGGTTTAAAAATAATGCACATTTTTGGAGAGGAGAACGGAAACAGCTACTTAATGACAAATAAGGGGCAACATTTTACAATATAACATTCACTTGTTACCACAAGAACAAAAATATATAAAATCCATTTGATGAATGAATAATACTGTTCTTTGGCAATACACTTCAGTAGAGTTCAGTTTTTCAATAATTCACATAATCACACAACAGCGCATTTAAGTAATATATTTTTACTGGAAAAATAAAAATACTCTAAATGGAAAATTAGCTCGGATTCAAGACTGGTATCTTTTAATTTTCATAAAAAAATTCCTATTCAGATTTCACAAATTTAAAAATATTTGAACTCAAGATTACCTACGTGAAAAATCATAATATTCTAAAAAGTTGTTTACCTTGCAGAAAAAGATTATCCTTTTTAAGATAAGTCAATTAAAATCAGGTATATGAAAACTTCGATTAGTGATAGCGCATTTTAGTACTTTTACATTTTTTAAAAAAAAAACTCAATAATTTCCAATCTCGTTCATAAAAATTACGTTTTTTAAATTGTTCTTATTATTAATTTTTAATCAATGTTAAAATAATTAGATTTTAATGTAAATAGTTATTGGTGTATATATTCACGCAGTATCGCGACATTATTTTTTTACTGTGCATCCGTAGTCTATATTGTCTAATAATGATGTTATTATTATACATTTATTCCATAGAAAACCCCTTCGATTAATAAATCTGTACATAAAACAAAAATATTAAAAATAAAAACAATACTTCAAACTCTTAATAAAAATCGTAAATAAGATAAAATTATAACAATATATAATTTACATTTATGGACAATAATAATATTTATATTATATTATATTATTATAGGTACAGGCATAATATTGCATGCATGGTTATAATTTTTCGTAATGAGTTTTTGTGATTTTCGCTAGTTAAATAATACACACTTAATGGCAGACATATTTTTTTTTTTATCAGGATGATCACGCTGCGAATTCAATACGGCAGATGGGTATACTTACTCATCGACATTTATGTAAACACGATTCCAAGATTTATCTTCGTGTTTTCGTTCCTTAGTTACATCATACCAATTATCTACTTGGTCAGTTGTCTTAGATTGAATAATTATATTTGGGGTGAGTTTATTGGTGTATATATTCATCAGGTGATTTTTTTATTAGGAACCACTCATTATTTCAAAAACTTTAATAGTTTTTACGTTTATTTCTTTTACCTATATAATTGTATGTAAAAGAAAAATCAAATGTATATACTTTTTACTATTTTTTTAGCATTATAATAATTTTATTTTTTTTTTTTACAATGACATTTATATATTTTATTTCATGTTCTGGAACAGAATATTACTTTGAGTTATAATGTGTAAAAATTTAATTATAGACCAGTAATTTATAGTAGGTAGTTTATGTATTTGAAATTTAAATGAACAGAGTCGTAGACCAACATTTTACGGATTATCCCTATGTTAAAAAACCGCTCATTTATATTCTGATACCTATAATTAATAAACAATTCGTTGAAAATTTGATTTTTATATACTGAAATATTTGAAATACTCTGAAAAATATTCTGTTTCAGAATAAGAAATTAAAAATGTACTGCACAAATAATTAAGAAATTTTAAATATATTTGTTTTTATAACCTATTAACTATGTAAAAAATATTTTTAAAAACTATGATTGATTCATGATAAAAAAAAAAATTATCTTATATACCTACTTATATATTTAAATGGAAAGAAAGACATACATACGCATTTAGTAATAACTTTGACAATTTTGCACTCAAACGTTTTGTTTTTCATTTTAGGTTTAAAAAAAAATGACCACGTTTCTAGGGATGTTTCTTACCAGCATAATAAAAAAATAACGTGAAGAGGAGCTGCTAGCTCCAAGTGGTCTCGCTGAAATTTGATCTGGGAACATTTTTTTACTGTGTTCAATATACTAAATGCACATTTTATTCTAATAGTTTTACTTTAACATAATTTGCGATATATTTTGTTATGTTATACATACTTATTCCTTCCGTTTTTATTTTTTGAATATGCAACAAGTATATTCAATTTAGTACATACTTTATATTCATTTTATAAATAATGTAATGGTCTCAAATGTGATTTTTTTTAAATTTATTTTATACAATTATATATTTATATGTAACTACATTAATTGTCTACGGATTTCTATTGTAATTGAAAACAAAAATAATGCACATGATACGTCAAGATTATTATAAATTTTACAAATACAATTAAATAATTAATTCAACAATCAATAAGTAATTTTTTTGTGGTTAATGATGTCGTTATATCCACTTAAGCCTTCGTTAGTGTCCGATAACCATTTCAAATTGCGATAAAATAATAATAACAATAATATGGGATAATACTAGGAGTTCTTAAAAACTATTTAAAATAATACATTATTTTTACTAGAAGTTAGAATATAACACTTCATGAAAAATAGACAAGTAGGCAAGAACCACTTATTTAATGAAAACCACCGACATAGCCTGGAAAGTCATACCTGATGGTGTAGTCCTTGGAATTTCTATGCCTATACGCACGACAGTCACAAACAATGCACTGTTAGTATTTTAAACGATAAAAAAAAAAAAACAAAAAACGGTGGGACGACTTACAAATACGTCAATACTACGCTGATTTGGTGGGCACCAAGGAACGTCCGAACATCGATTTCAAACAACGTTGCGCCGTCGCTAAAACCGTCAGTCATAGTATTATCGTATACTCATATCACTTTAATGTTACTGCTGTTACTGCTGAAAAAGTACATTTATAGCAAAATTAATTTAATAAGATGTAATCTAAGATCTAAAATAGACTACCAACGATTAAATGCACTGATCATGTTAAATGGCAAAAAAGACAATGGATAGTTTGGATATCAATCATTTACAGACGAAAAATTGTTACTTATTTATTAAAATACCACAGAGTTTGATTGTGAAGAAATCATTTTTAATAAAACAAATAATATTTACTTGTGAATAAAAAAAAAAAAAATGACGCAATTATTATAAATAAATTTGTTGGTAATTGATCAAAATTCTATTATAAAAACCGTTTTAGTTGTACAATTAATACACTCTAAAATATTGAATATTTTTATTGCACACACAGTTCGGTATTGACTTTGTGCTTCTTCTTTTATTTGTATTAATTTTTTTAATGGAAAAAATAGGTTGTTCATCGTATTTTAGTTTTTGTGTCTATAAGTTGTAAACTTGTAAATAAAATACAAACATAATATTATTACGCTACGTATTACCCATAAATTATTTTATTAGACAGATAGCGTTACTAGGGTATTTTTATTTTTGTATAATTTAAGTCATACTACGTGTACAACTTTTTTGTGCAAATCTTCTCTACAATATTTTTCTATTGAAGTAAAAAATTTGAAAATACGCTCTTAAAGTATATTTAAAAATGTCAAAAATCAAATGTTGAATAACTACGTTACCGAAGAAAAAAATAAAATGAACATGCTTGGTTTATCACCTTGTATAATGTATATTTATTATGATTTTGTATTAGCCCTTCAGCAGTAATACATAGCTTAAGATCGATTTCATAATTATTTCAGAAGCTCAAGAGTCATCACATCTTGCCAGTATGCAATAGATGAGTGGTCTGAAATATGTATAATCTTATAGAGTTAAATAATAATAAGAAATCATTAAATTGTTAACAATTTATTCGATACAATTATAATAATAAATTGAAAAAATATTCTTCAACAATTTAAAACAATTATTATTATGTTAAGTCACTATTGTGTGCATAATTAAATAATATTTACGTACATAGTTCAATAACTTTTGCTTTAGTTGTATATAGTTGCCGATGATTATTCAAAGTGTTGACAACAATACTTAATGTGAAGTATAATAAAAACAATGTTAGATACAACTATAGAAACTGGGAAGTAGTTCTACTGTATTCTAGATTTTGAATGTACGTCATCATCAAGTAGATCACAATACAGATATGACAATAACGTTATCATGATGTCAATTTTAAGTTAATAATAAATCATTGCTGCTTACGAAAATGGTTCTGATTGGAAATTGTGTCAGCATCTATTTAGAAAGACATTTTAAATTGTATTTAAATTACTCTGTTATTTAAAAAAAAAGTTTTGAAAAATATGGTTTTATCAAATAATTGCCACTTTTAAAATTAATAAAAAGAGGCGTTAACTATTAGATGAAGAGCGTGCGTTACGTAAACCAGAAATTAAAAACGATACAATAAAAAAAATAAAGTAAAAATCAAGGAAAAAACTAAACGAAGATTTAAAGAGTATTATAATAAGAAATAAAATAAAAATAGTCTTACTTATACCTTAATGTTATCTGTTTCACAAATTTTCAAAAATGTATTTCTATATCTCTAAGTTTAGATGATGTATTTCAGGAAAATTTTGAAAAAATTAAAATTAAATTAAAAAATAATGAAATTAAAAAAAATAACAAACAAATAAACCCAAATATTTAGATATGACAGAAACATAGGTATTATAATTCTAATATTTTAAAAATGAATAAGAGAAAATTGCAAATATTTATACTGTCAACACCAAAAATTAATTTTATACCTATCATATGATGATAAATATTTCATTGTTTTTATTTGTCCTTTTCAAATAATTACTGTGCTCATTTACTCACTAAAAAGTATTTCATTAGATTCCTCGATCAAAGTTACTCTAGGGTATTAAGAGTTTCATTTTTCAACCCTTATAAGTTGCTAAAAAATAAATTTCATGAATTTAATTTTGAGTTTTTGATTTATGAAAATTTAATATATTTGTTTATATAAATGGTTACATATTATTTTACTATTATAGTTTGTAGAAATATAGAATGCAAAAATTTTTAAAATCAAATACTTAAAAACACAATAATATTACAATGATTACTTTTATGATTTCGAACTATGATTTTATTTTTTAGTTCTAAGCATATTTCTTATGTAAGCACATAAAAACGAATACTAATCTTAACAATACTAGATTTTCTAATGGCCTATGCCGCAGAGGGAAATATTTTTATTAATAAAAAAAAAAAAAAAATTTCAAGATTTATGTCAGCTTTTAAGCATTTTTTTAATCTGTTTTCGGTATTTTTTGTTTACTTAAGAAATATGGATAAAAAATAAAAATTGGTAGAAAATTATAAAATTAGTCTGTCTATAATAACATTTGTATCATATATTTCAACAGCGATAAAATTGAAAACGATAAAAAGATAGATAAATTTTAACGGTCCAAACGTTAATACAAAAAAACAAGTTGATAAAAAAAACATCACAAAATCAATACATTCATCGCTCAGTTCAAAATCAATTACTTTATAGTTATATTGATGACTTAAATGAAAACAAATAACTTATTTATCATTATTATTAGATGATATACTTATATTTATTTATTCGGTTGTATCATTTAACTTTTTTTTTCAATGTTTTGATACTATTTCCAAACAAAATAATGATTGTATACTGAATAATTTTCAAATGAAAATCTACGAGTATAATAGGTAGTATAGCAAGTACCTTATTTACTGTCGATAATTGAAACCGTTATAATATTATGGGTAGACTATCTCGGAAACAGGTCTAAAAAACTATAAACGATTATAAATTGGAAAGGTTTAGTAAAAAACAATGTGCCTGCAGTTGGCCGAAGTTAAATTACTATTATTAAAATATAAATTCATAGTTTATATTAGATTGCCCTTAAAAAATTTCACGATCAAATCATCCGCATAGCCTAAAGTGTCAGCGAAAGTAACTATACTTTTCATTTTATTTCTCGCTTTTAATTTCCATGCATTTTTTATGTTATATACTCTACTATTAATTTAATAGAAAATAATTTAACTGTATATTATGCACTGCGTGCGATGGATACACAAAATAACCGATCAGTTATTTATAAGATTGCAATTAAACAAGGAAAAAATACATATATGTAAAACTTATAATTACAATTTGTTAGGTATAGGTGCATAAACATATAATGTTCGAATTTAACGGTTATACTTACCATCATCAGCCATAGTTCAATGTTCAATTAAATAGCTATAAGGTACTTAGAAATAAAAACAAAATTAAATTTCAGACTCACGTTGTGTAAATTTGACTTTTATTGAATTATACTATGGTGACGGATTCACACAAATTAATATTGTTTTTGACTAATTAATGGTCAGTATAAATTATTGTCAATTGGAAAAATTATTTGGTGAAGTATTAATAATAAAAAGCTCTAATAATATTTATAAACTTAAAAATAATAATTTATTTTATATTACAATACATACAAGCAGCGATTGAAATAGAAGATATCGCTCATTCTTACATATATCTTAACAGTTATTTTCTGTCTCAACGCTTATTTTATTTAAAATTATCTACCCCTCTTAATTTTTTAAGATTTAATTTTTTTCATAATTTGTGGCTGTTTTATGATGTTGGATCATAATATTACACAGCTATCTATATTTATATTTGTCTACGTTAAGAGATTATATATAATATATATTATATATTAAAATTATTCATTATTTTTAGTCTTAAATATTGATTTTTCGAATAAAGTATTTATTTAAGTATTAATTATATTTATGTAAATATCAAAATATTTTTCAATTTTATATTATTTTTAACAGCAAGTTAAGTTAATAAAAAATAATATTTAATCTAATATTTAATCTCTATTAGATTTAATGTCCAGAGTATAATTAGGTATTGAATATTCGTATGTAGTTCCGGATAATAGACTAAATACTTATATCTACATAAACAACTTTTTGTTCACATAATTAAGTGAAAATGTATTTTTATTAGATCAGTTAATCAGTTAAGACTTTCACAGAATAAAAATTGATTTTTATAAATTATTAGTTAGTATTTATTTTATTTTTATTGAGAAAGAAAATTTACAATCTGTACACAATAATTACAATGAGCAAAATACTTTTGTATTTATATGCATTAT